AGTTGAACACATTATCTTTATTTATTTATTTTTATGTGGTGCTAAGGATCAAACCCAGGGCCTCACAAGAGCTAGGTGAGCACTCTACCACTGAGCCACAATCTCAGCCCTTCCTCCTTATTTTTAAGGGAAATAGGAAAACATTAATGAGAGGGACACAAAAAAATATGAAGATCTTACTAATAATTTGAGAGAAAATTCATAGAAAGTAGTTTTTTTGTTTAAGATTTGACTATTAACTCATTAATCATAAATCTACACCTATAGCATGCAGGGTATAGGTGTAGATTTATGATTATGCTTTTTTTTTTTTTACCTGTCACCCTAATTTCAGAGGTTTTTTTTTCTCTATATGCTACCTAAATTCCAAGCCCAACAACCAAGTATTCCACTTGAAATCATACCTGAGTCTAAAAAAAATAAAATCTTCCTCTGCTATGAAAATAATGCTTTATATATGTTTGCCTTGTGTGTGCGCGTGCTGCGGGTGGACCTTGCGCATGCTAAGCATGCACTCTCCACTGAGTTGCCCCCAGCCTGTGCTTGCTATTTTTATGGCAACCTGTTTTACTCAGGGTCCAAGAAGGAAAACGAGTTAAGAATTTCAAGTAGAGGGAAGTTGATACAGGGAATTGATTACACAGATGATAGAAACTGAATAAGCAATAAACATGATTATGAGGTAACTCACAGACTAATAACCTCAGGAAAAAAACTTCTCCAGAAGGAAGACATCGCACTACAAAAACTGCATACAAGGGAGAGCCTTATGGGCCCTGTGCTCAGAGATTTGAAGGGGGTGTCATGGATGGAGGTTTCTAAACACATTAGATACCTGTTGGTTTCTCCAATGACACAACAGACGTGACTTGGAAAAGACAAATCTAGCAGAGCCACTTCTGAATAGCATAAACCTAAAATAATACATTAAATATTTCACAGCAAAGGACATAGAAAAATAAGAAATAATTCAGTTGAAAGCTGCAAATTAAAAGTGAGTGCTTATCATGACTTTTACTCAGCATCAGGAGACTGAGGTTAGCACAGGGCCTACTCAAATTTGTTAATGGATAATTCAGTTTACTTTTGGGGCAATGTGCCAATACAAACAGCAGGATAGTCCTGCCAATAAAGATGAGCATCTAACAAAGCACACTGCCCATTTTATAAACTTTATATTCAGGAATGTTTCCTTTGATTTTTTTTATTTTTGGGGGGGCGTTGTTCAGAATCTAGTGTAGTAGGCATCTCTGCACCAGCAGCAGCAATACTTAGATCACAATTAATCAGATTCAGTTCACTTAGAATGCTGAGAAAAAATAATTGAAAAAAGAATACAATCTTATTTCCTTTTGTCAATGCCAAACAAAAATGCAGAGAAGAATCTCCAGTAAATTAACTTTTATTTGAGAATGAAGAGTAGGATTACAGTTCAGTAGACATGCACAGGCTGGAGAGTCCTCTGGTAGATCCAGAGTTAAAAGTAAAAGTTGGGGATTTCCTTAGGACAGAAAAATCCAGCTATGAAGAAAGCACATTGGGACTTTCAGTGCTTGGTTGATCTGGTGAGCTCTGATTGGGGGACAGTAGCATTTACCATGTAAATTTAGTCTTAAGTTCATAGATGGAAGTTCTGTGGACAGTTGCTAAGAAAAAAACATATATAGTCTTAAAGATAAGGCAGGCTGTTTTTCTGGATGATCCTGGCAGAGCAGTTCCTGAAATAATCTTCCGTGACCTGAGCACTTTTGTGCCCCCCATGGCCTTCTCAGCACTATTTTAAGATGGGTATGACAAGAATGTTTTTACTTGTGTGCTCAATTGCCACACCCTTACAGTAAATAAAATTTTAGATTGGGTTTAATATGATACAGTCATGCATGGCTTAACAATGGAAATGATTCTAAGAAATGAGTCTAGGTGATTTTATCAGATTGACTAAGATGACTACAGTGTCTCCAGGTTATATCATCTTTTGGGGCCACATTGACTGGAACATTGTTATTTGCACACGACTTCTTTAGAGAAAAAGGTCCAATGTTTACACTGAAAAGGAATAAAAGCTGTTTTTTACCTTGATTTAAAGGTATTTGATCAAGCATCACTAGGTTCCCCCTTCAAAGTCAGAGAAGCTCCCATTTGGATGTTTTCCATTAATCACTTAAGACTCATCTCTGGAAGCTCCAAGTGTCCTTGTCATAGCATTCACACACAGCACCGTCCTGACTTTCTGAATTGAAATCAAATGTTGGTCATTTGCTGACATAGTGCTAATTCAACTTTCTATGGCAAAGATGTAATGGACCTGAACCAATCAGACAATTCCAGTACATCTGCCTTACGTTTGGCCAACACTATTTAAAGCTTACTGTAATGCCCAACAGAGGTCTGTGTGAGTGAAGCACTTGCAATTACAACTAAACCATTCCCATAATAATAAATACTGAATTTACTGTCTTCATTGAGGTGATCATGATTTTCTACTTTAATCTGAAGCATGATAAGTTATACAATTTTTAGATACTGAAACATCCTTGCATCCCTGGGAAGTACCTGCCTTGGTACATGACATATTATTTCTTATAGACTATTACACTCAATGCACCAACATTTTATCGGCAATTTTTCCGTATATGTTCATAAATGATTGGTCTATAAATTAATTTTTCATACTGTCCTTGTTCCATTTTAGATTTATGGCTAATTTTAGGAAATGAGTTAGGTGGCTTCCTCACCTTTCTATTCCCTAAGAACTTCTACATGACAGAAATTATCTGTTCACTGATATTTTTCCAGAATTCACCCTTTAAACTTTCTTTTGATGAGGTGGAATTGCGATTACTAATTCCATTTTCTTACTGGCTTTTGGTTGTTTTAGACTGCCAAGATCTTAGCTAAACTTTGGTAACACCTGTTTTTCTAGAAATGGATCCATTTCTTTTTCTTATACTTCCAAAAACTTTGTTATCAAGTTTATAGTATTCTCACAATTATTTAAAATCTGTATTTATAATTGTGTCTCTTTAAAAAAAAATCTAAATACTGTTCACTTGGGTCTTTTTTCTTTCCTTGTTAGGACTTTGTCTGAAATATCCTTCTGATGCAGCTCACAAAGCTCAAGGGGCATCACCAGCTCCTTGCTGCCTCAGCTGTGGCTTCTCAGGAGCCCGTCATGGGGACTGTTTGCTTACTCATTTCTTTGTACTTTAAAATATACCCACAGCTTTAGTAGTGCTATTTTGCTACACCTCCAAGTTCTCTTTAGTCTGTATTTTATCCTTTCACTACATTTCCTTATGTTGGTTATTATCCATGCTGATTCACTTTTGCTTAAAATATCATTTTGAGAATGGACACAATGTTAAATCATCATTATGCATTTGCCAGATTTACAACTATAAGTGCCTACTGTACAGTGGGCATTAGACATACAGATAGTAAAAAGATAAAAAGAAATGATTCATATTAAATCAGATGTTTTCATACTGTAAATATAAAAATGATTATTCTCCTCTCCTAATGTATTTCACAATTACAGACGAACCATAGAGTATGATTACAGAAGAATCATTTTTGAAGTAAAGTTTTGGACACATAATTTCATACAAATATTTTCATACAGTACTGTAATTGTCACTTTTTTTTTTTCGCACCAGGAATTGAACCCAGCTGCACTCAACCACTGAGCCATAACCCCATCCTTTTTTTTTTTTTTTTGTATTTTATTTAGAGACAGAGTCTCATTGAGTTGGTTAGGGCCTCCTTAAGTTGCTGAGGCTGGCTTTGAGCTCAAAATCCTCCCGCCTCAGCCTCCCAAGCCACTGGGATTACAGGCATGCATCACCACTCCTGGCTTGGTAATTGGATTTTTAGACAGTTCTGTAATGGCAATCCCATGATGAGAAATCTAAGAGACCTGAGTTAAACTTTACAAATGTCCTGGACTCATAAGCTGTTTCCTAAAAGGACTTTTCAGTAGTTTTAATTAATTGTAATTAGCAACATTCCAATCACAACTACAAAATTTCTGACAATATTCTCTGTGACAACTACAGGCAGCATGCTTCTGGACTCTTAGAAAATAATTTCTGAAGGAAGACAACTCTCACATGGGAGTTTACCTTACTGGAGCAAAACCAGTATATTTTTGCTCAAGAATGTTTGACTTAAAAAAGTAAAAACTAGCCGTCGCTATTCCCTAACAGCCTTTTCAAATTAACAAAAAGGGTAAAGTTTTGCATCCAAAATTGACAATTTTGCCTTCTGGTCTTAAAAACCTATAGTTAATAACTGCTGAAGAAATGTGAAGATTCTAGAAAAAAGTAGGTAGTATATTTAATTCTTCTTTTCAAACATATAAATTGGATAAATGGCACAATAGTTTCAGAATGCCAGAACTAGGGCAGTGATGTAGCTCAGTGTAGAGTGCTTTGCATAGCATGCATAAGGCCTGGGGTTCAACCTTAAGCACCAGGAAAAAAATAAAAAGGAATGCCAGAACTAAGCAAACTAGTGGTGTGTTCCTACATGCAAAAAAATCCTTCACATGTCATTAATCATATTATTTTTCAAGTGTATGGGATCTGACTGTAAGAAAATTAATTCCTGAAGCCTGAAGTTAATCATACATGATGAAAAGCTCCTCCAGCAAAAGCAGTGCTTGCCAACCACTTAACTCAACCCTGATTATCCATCTTTTGAAGCTTCACATTATGTACAATTAAAGGTATAAACTGAAATTGGTTGACTGACTTGGTTTCCTCTGATTAGCCATTCACAAAACCACAGTGAGACCATAAAACTAATTGTTTCCCCTCTGGAGTTCCATTATGAAACTTACTGGTTTCAACATTGAAGAGAATTCGTGGTTCCTATATTCTATCAATGAGGAATAGGATCTGTCTTTGACTAGGAAGTTTAGTTCTGATATTCAACTGGTATAAGTACAAAGTAGTGCTGGTTAAATTAAGACCTTTCCTATAATTACTTACACTGTGAAAGTTATTCAAATTTCAAATTTATTTGTAGCTTTCAAAATCACACAACAGATCTCCATTTAAGCAATAAGTCAGTCACCTGTGGTAAGTTTGGATAATGAAAAATCTAAAAAAACTCAAACCAGACACACTTCTTTTACTTTCTCCATGACAATATACACTGGAAATCTAAATTCCAATAGTTCTCCTATTGAAAATAGTGAGATTTAGTACAAGCCACTTTACTATGATTTTTTAAATGTTTACAGAATATTGAGCCTCCATGGAAGAGAACCCTATTTAAAAGACATGATTATATTTTTAAAAATCTAAATTAACTCAGTTTATTTCCAAAATAAGAGTTGATCAATGTTTTCAGTTTATCACCACACAGAAAACATTGTGTAAAATAATATGGTAGACTTTCACTTAAATATTTTTATGTAAAAACCTCACAGTACAGGAAGAGATCACTATTAGGTATGAAAACATCAAAAGCCTGCCAGGATATTAAGTAGAGGGCAGAATAGTTTTGTTATCTCATCTTAAAAACTGTTGGCACATTCATTAACTGCCCAGATTATAAAAATTACTTTGTATCTACTTCCTGACCTTCAATATATTTTTATATCCACGCTGCATAACATTAATGCTGGTAGACAAAATAGCTCATTTTAAGAATCTAAAAACCTTTCAGGTAGCTCAATGATTTAAAACCAACTAGGAAAAAACTCTGCCAAAATATTTTTTGTATGCAATTTTCTGTCTATTACCACAATAACAGTAAAAAAGCTGTGTACCTTTAAAAGAAGCAAAAGGAAAGTAATTTCACTTTCCTCTGAAAACACAATTTCTTAGCTCTTAAATAGAGAAAAACTAATTTTCGTGGGGAAGGGAAAAATATTTCCGAAGTAAAAATATCAAGTTTATGTTAGTTGTACAAATGTCTCATTTAGGAAAGAAAGTGAATATTTTAATTCAAAGGATTCTAAAATATTCATTACAAGAAAAAATAATTTAAAGCTAAAAAACTGTAATACGTGAATTAACACAAGTCATGCATTAACACATCCTATTGCTTCTTATAAAACCCTTGATTAAGGAACAGTAGATTAGGTAAGGTATCTATTTTTCCAATATTTGGTCAGATTAGCTAAATCCTGCCAAAGACAAGTCCTCTGGGTCTCAGGACCCTCATCTCTTAAATGAGGGCACTGGACTAACTGCCCTTTAACACCCCTCCCAATCCACAAATTTATGTAATTAGTTTCTGACAGGTTCAAGAAAGTCTATTTTGTGCTGTGTGACTTGGCTTTTTAAAAAACATCTTTCATATTTATAGGACATAATGTGATAATTTGACACATGTATAAGACATGTAGAATTGTCAATCTCACATAATCCTTTTAAGAATGAGGTGTTTCAACTCAATATACTCTGCAGATAATAAACACTCTCCATTTAAGTAATGAAGCTATGCTTAAATAGTTAAATTTTTACTTGAGCTTGTTCCCTTAAAAGAAGGTGAGATACAAACTTCAAAGACTCCTGGACCCACCGATGGGGCGATCCATGGGGACAACTTGGGCTCTGGTTCTAATTCTGTGTGATTCTGAGTCACTGTGAGTGAAAACCAGGATGATAACACCTGCACTACAGCTCTTCGTTTTAAAGACCAATAAAGTTATAATGAAGCATTTGTAAATTACAAATTACCACACAAATGCAATGGATTGCTGTAAGAAGCCCAAACTGATTTTCCTCAAAATCTGGATTTTAGAAAATATACATATTTTTTGTAATCACTTAAACAAACTAAAAACAAGTTAACCCACTGGTTACCTGACTATTCTCCTACAGTCCTTCTCTTCTGTGTCTCATCATACTCCTAACTACACCAGACCTGAGATTTAATGTCTCTCCTAAAGTCTAGAAATCTGACCTTCAAATAAGTGGAAACCCAAATCTAAAGATCTGTTACTTTAGCAAATCTAGCATCACCACTACTCACCCTGAAAGAGTGGTTCTAAACAGGCCAGGCATCAGACTCATCTGGAAGTGTGTGATCTCTGGGCTCCAGCCCTAGAGGTTCTGATTCAATATGTGTGGAGTAGGACCCAGAAAAACTCTACTGCTCTCAAAAAGCTCCCCCAGGTAATCTCAACAACTAATTAGTTCAGTTTTGGGGACTCACTGCTTTACCCTCAATTTATTTTCTATAATTTTAGTACCTGCTAGTTTTGTTTTTAATATAAAAATTTTCCTTACATTAATCCTAAGCATACTCAGGACATACTACCCCTGATCTTGGCTTAGATTCACAGGGAACCAGTCATTACAATCCATTATAATAAAACAATCAATTAACTTCCGAGCTAAGACAATGGATGCAGATGCTATGGTGGCTGTGACTACATTGACAACTATGTTCTGCTTTACCTATAGTTGGGCACTGAAAAACTTGAAGACCATCTTATTGTGACTACTCAATAAAGAATGGCAGAACTCCTCCAAATAACAGAAAGATGACTAACCAGCTAATGAATATTATTCAAAAAATGTTTCTAGTAGACATAAATGTAAAGTATTTCTTTAAAAAACTACACAGCTTCCTGTGAGAAATCAAGACTTCCACACTTCTGAAGTCCACCATAAGAAGAAAGTTGACCATAACTACAACTGTTTAAAAATACGTTCAGTTAACTGTGAAAATATATGTGTAAAATAGGTATAATTTTATCCTTAGGAGATTTAATAGGCACAAATGGAATTCAGTTTCCATTTATTCTACCCAATGAGTTAACTGTGAAAATGACACATGAAGTATTTGGTATAATGTAGTTGTGAACACCATCCCTTCCGAATGTAACACAAAAACCACACTGGACTTTCCCAGCATCTCAAGCACCCTTAGGCACTGCGGAACGTGGTCATGTCCTTTGGCTCTCTGCTGGGGACACACCAGTCATCAGCTTCATGGTTGGTGTTGTAATGCTTCCAGGCAGCTTTGTTATACACGGGGAGTCTCTCAATCGATTCTGTTGACAGAGCCTGAAAAAAAAGCAGAAACTCTAAGTCTGGCATTTTTTGAGAACTCATTAGTTGAGAAAACATAGAACAGCAAAAAACTTACTACAAATTCAATAGAACTCAACTGTTAATCATAATACCACCACATATTTTGCTTTATGTATGTATACATTTTAAAGTGTACATATTGGAAACAGGTTGTTTACTAAAACTGTGGCACCAATCAATGTGCATATTGATTGAGACTGTTGTTTCCCAGGTCGCCTGGAAGCTGCTGGATTCAAATTTTACACAAGTAGATGCTTCTTACAAAATACAAGCCAGACCAGAAGTTGGCTACTTGAAAGTCAGTTAACTGCAAAACCAAAAAAAAAAACTTGATGCACATAACTTAATATGTACTTTAATATATGTACATAGATTTAATGAGATCTATTTTAGTTAATACTGAAGAAATATTTTTTCAGTACAGTCACTGTACAATAAAAAATTTATCATAACATTATCAATAAATATAAAACTATGTCTAAGGCATTTTGGCTTCTGCATGAACAATTCTTCGTCCTGGGTTTGGTCTTGTGTTTTCTTCTGCCATTAAAGCCACCAATTTCAATCACACCACATGTGATTTCTGCATCATGCTTAATTTAAAGTTTCGCTATATCATTACCATCAATTCACTGTTCTACTTCAGCTTCATGTAAACCACTGGTACCTGAGATAAATGGCATTCTTGCTATTTTCTTCAAGTTAAGATTTTTTAAAAATTTCAAATTCAGGGTGCCAGCATCCCTTAAGATGTAGAAAATAATGAACTAGAAATTTCACCCTGAGAGTGCAAACTAAGGTTTTTGATATTGATGATCTTAATGATTTAGTAAGATTTACTATTTTCTATTTTTTCCCCAAAAATGGAACTAAAAACCTTCTACCTATATGTTTATTTTTCTCACATAACTTCTGCATTTCCTATAAAATAGGTGCCATCTAGTGGCCATAAAAGCAACTAGAATCACCAAATAATTAGGCACCAACAGCCTGCCACTTAACCAGTGCTTTTTTTGTTTTGTACTGGGGATTGAACCCAGGAGCACTTTACTACTAAGCTTTATTTCCATTTATTTTTATTTTTATTTTGAGTCAAGGTCTGAATTGCTTAGGGCCTTACTAAATTGCTGAGACTGGTCTTGAACTTGCAATCCTCTTGCCTCCCACTTCCCAAGATACTGGGATTATAAGCATGAGCCACCATGTTCAGAGCTATTTAATTAGTGATGCATCTCTGTGCTTCTGCATACCAGTAAAATCTACTGAAACTTCTATAAGCACATCTAACACCCAAGGCCAGTAAGCCAAGCACTATTGTTCTGCCAGATAAGCAATATATGCTCAACCAAGAGTCGCCAACGCTTATTCCAAATCTGTTTATGCAATTACATCTGTCATTGTAAAATTTAATCAAATATTACATTAACAACATGCAAAAAACAGGGGAGGATGTCTTTAAAAACTAAGATACAAGCTTTGGAAAGATTTGCGAAGGAAAGGCACATAAAAATTTTGGTCAACTTGGAGTCAGATGCTATCTTTAAAGGACTGCATAAAATCCAAAAAGATTATTCCATTGGTTGTTTCCTTCCTTGTTTAAAGAAACCAAAACGATGAACCGAAAGTATAGCCTGCTCAAGAAAGACAATGTGACACTCCAATCTGCAGACTCTATGCAAAGAAAAGGCCCTGGAAGTGTGTCAAAAGATAGGTGGATCAATAGGTTATATGTTGAAATCAGTGCTGTGTGATACATAACTTCAGTTTTCCCTCCTTTAACCCAGTTTTTTCCTGTTAACAAGCACAGTCCTGATTGTGACAAATAAGAATTCTTGTGTCCCCAGAGACCAGGGGATCAACTGTCAAATGGATGACATCCCATGTAAATGTCTTTTTGTACTTTAACAGCATGAGGTAAAATAAAATTTCATTACATTTAAATGTTGGCACCTTTTTTAAACTCCAAAGAAATATTAAATCAAGAAAATTATAGTTATTACCTTAATGTAAATAACTGCATCTGTCCCATATCCCTCTAAGGAATACAGCTTTAAGTCTCCTTGAAAGTACTGTGCATAAAGACGTGATATGGGCAATCCATAACCAAAACCAGCCTGTTTGATGAGAAAAACAAAATTCTATTCAGAAAGCCACATACTGAAATACTTTTCTAATTAAAATAAACACCACTGAGTACCCCAGGGCTAGCAGAACGTATACCTGACAGATCGGTTAGTATGTAGGTATTAATTAATTGATTAAGCTGAAGCTTAGCTGAGTAATACATTAGCTGATCCCCTCTGGTTATTTAAAACTTGTTGTTCTTTTTATAAAATGACTTATGGAGGTCTGGAAAATCATATTTGCTTTTCTTTGCTAGGCTCCTCTAGGGTACTCAAAAACTGCTTTTGGCAAGACTACGTAAAACTCATTATCTTTTGAAAAGCAGAAGAAAAGCCTTATAGACATATCTCATGATTCCACACCATGAATTTCCAGCCTGTGTTCTAAACCTGGAGATCACCTGTAATAGGTCTACTTTCTTAAATCTCACTGACAGGTCACTTCCTTACTTAAAAACTTCACCCCCACTCCTACCATCCCCACTCACTGCCTTAGAGATAAAAAGGCAAGCTTCTAACAAGGGCTTTCAAGGCCCTTAAGGAAGGAGATGTGCTTCCCACTTTCCCATCCAGCAGAACCACATCTCCTTATGTTATTTCAATGTTTACTTCTGTGTTTGTTCATCCTATTCCCAGTATCTGTACTGGCCTCCAATAAATCCTACTAATAATTCTTGTCATATAACATAAAATCCTTGGATGTAGGTAAAACAGTTTTTGTTACTGAATATCATGTTCAGTAACATTCCATAGGGTGTGTTAATTAAAAGTTTATGTGGACTCAGGAATCAGAGTGCTGTTAACAAATTCAGGCTCTGGCTTCTACATTTTCTAGCAACTATTAATTGACTTTTCTAACTGTTAGAAATTTGCACACTTATCTCTGCTCTGGGAGGCTGACCTAAAGAGATTATGTCAATGGAGGCCTGTGCCCTTTGCTTCCAGAAACTCCTGTCACTGGGAAATCCAGCAGGGGGTCTGAGGGAGAAAAGGAAGGGTATTCCTTTCCCTGGTTCCTTCCGTGTGAGGGGCCTTGGGTAGGATGCTTCTCCTCCAGAGTCAAGAGAGGCTCTGCAACTCTCCCCACTTCTGGGTTCTGCTAACTGCATCTTTCAGTTCTTTTGATCCACAGTGGTGACAGTTTTATAATAAAGAAGGCCTATTTACAAAGAGACTAATCATACAAGCATGAGTTAGGATGTATAGGAACCCGCTTCCTTGTAAATAATCCTGTGAATTATCATGAGTGAGCTACAGGTCTCTGCTATTGGGATCCTGGCTGATATGATAATTGGTTCCAGAAGTGGCCCCAAGAAAACACACCAGTAGGTAGCTTAGGCTCCTAGGGTACCTGACCCACTTTATCACTGCTTCTCCACTAATTACACCTGAGGATTCATGGGGTGTCTCTCATGAACAGTTAAGAGAAGAAAACCAGCATGGGCCTAGCCCTGATGGATCTAAGCAGTATGCTTGTACCAGTCCATAGTGGGCTGCCCTGCACTGTAACCCTTATGGAAGCAAGAGAGGGCCTGAAAGACAGAAATCCCAACAGCATGGTCAGGGGCAAAAAGGCTGGCTGGCTGGCTTGTCATGGACTCAGAAAGAACAAAATTCTTAACTGATAAGCTGGCCTGGCAGCTTATCAGTTCTCTGAATGGGCTTATGGTATGAAGTTGTTCTGTCCATGCAAATGCCCACTAGCAGGCATTCCTGTGGAGGAAGCTCTCCATAATAAGGTGAACAAGAACATTACCTGTGTTTATACGACAACCTTTTTCCAGCTAGCACCCCCCACCCCTACCCCATGCTTGCTGATTGGGTCCATGACAAAGTATGAAGGCAGCAGGAGGGAGGCTCCATAAGAATCTAATAAACAGTCTTGCCCGGTCCAAGGCTGCAGAGACACAGAGGGATGTCTGCTCTTTGTCAAGCCTCCCATTTCCCAAAAAATCCACATAAATCATGAACCAATACTTGCATGTTATTTATTATGTGCCAGGCACTATAGAAAGCATTTTTTACATATATTAATTCACTTAATCCTCACAATTAACTCCATTTTCAAGCTGGGAAAACTGGGCATTATAAGTTCAATAAATGGTTCCCAAAAGGTCACACTTCTGGGCTGTGGTTAGGATGTACAGGAACCTAGTTTCCTTGTAAATAATCCTTCTGTGAATTATCATAATGAGTGAGCTACATGTCTCTGCTGTTGGGATCCTGGCTGATACGATAATTGGTTCCAGAAGTGGCCCCAAGAAGTCAGGAACCAGAGTCTGGACCTATTCACTATGCCATGCTCCACAGAAATTCTACAATATTGCCTACTTCCTTCTTCAAGTTAGAATTCTAGGACATCTGTTTATCGTCTACATTTGACACTTGATATGTGGGAGCAACATCTCAGGTGGAGAAGCACATTCCTTAAGGATCATTTCAATTTGGCAAGATGCAAACTATTTTACTATATAGTCACAGAATATCTGCTGTGTAACAAGTAAAACTATTGGAATTAAGTCCTTCTGGAAAGGTCTAAAATAGGTCCTTCTTATACATTACAGCCTGATGCTAATATATATGCCAGAGAAGTGTCAAAGCCTGGGATAAGAGAATTCTTCTAGAATTACAGAATATTTGGCAAAGTGCTGTTTTGGGGGCCTAAGATCAACAAAAACAGCATTAAGATAATTATAATTTAGGCCTATCACACTAAATTAAACAGATCAGAATTTCAGTCTTATTTCTAAGTCTAGAATATGAGCTCTTTTTAATTATAGATATTTGAGGGAAAAAATCAACATTACAGATTAAATCTGTGTTGATCAAATACTACTAAAACCAGTAATTTATTTTTCACATTAGAAATAGTATATCAAAATATGGTTTATCATATACAAATCTGCTATTATATTACTATCTAGCCTGGCAACAAGAACTTCAAAATAATAATCTGTCCTTCATCAATTTCAATTTAAAAAAAAATAAATCAGTATTCCAGAAGACTGTCTGTTCAAATTTAGAGAAAGGTGTTTGTTTTAAGAGCTCCCCTTCTTCCCTGTGGAGTACCCTATACCATTTGTTTAACTGGTTTATCCAGCAGTCAGAGGCTGCCAGAGGCAATTCACAAAACCACATTTCATTCATTTCTGGGTCACATACCAGGGGCGCTGCACGGGAAGTCTCCACACGAGGCCGGGGTGCAGTTGAATACATGTAGTTGAAGAGTCTGTCAATTTTCCTCAAAGGAACACCACCTCCTCGGTCACTCATCTAAGATAAGAAAGGATCATGCTCTATGACCAAGTCTCATCAACAGCAAAATAACAACACAGACACAGTGTCACAGTTTAACTGCTGGTAGAAGACTACTGCTTTTGAAAATGAATACCACACAGTCCAAGCTGCAAACAGCATTTCCCACATGGTGTAGCTAACATAACAACTTCTCTACTATGTGAAATTCTAATATATAATTCATCACTGTGGCTGTACATATTTCCTGAAGTCTCACTATCAGAATTGGGCACAAGCTAAACCCATCCTGAATTAACAATCAAGTTGTTATTCCTTTCTGGTAGGCAATAGAATAACTAGGATCAAATTAGAAATGCAAGTACACTTTAATCCAACAATGACACTTCCAGAAATTCATCCTAAGAAAATAAACAGAAAAGTATGAGAACATCCATCACAGCTTCGAGTAGCTAAGACTGGACAGCAACCTAAAGAGAGGATTAGTTAAGTAAAGAACATTCTAAAATAGCCATCTAAATGTTCCATATAACTGGTTGTTCTGGCATGAGAGAAGTCTACAGAATATTGTTAGGCAGCAATGAGCAAGATATGAAATAGTAATAAAAAAATCTAAATTTTGTAAAACTTATTTCATAACAAAGGCCTAAAATGATATATAATCTTTGCTTTGGAGAAGTTGATTTTCTTCTTTTTTGTTTTTAATTCTGATTTTTTTTCATGATTACTTTTATTATATTTTTTTAAAAGTACAATTTTCATTTTATAGGGAAAAAAAAGTACCTCATTGTGGTCACATCTAAAAGCAGTTTTATAAAACAGGACACTGGATAATTTTCTGGTGAGTTGTAAGGTACATAGGTCTTTATATTATTCATAAGTCATTTTCAACTCAAATAATCACATCATAGACTGAACTGAGTAAGTTATTTACACATTATTTTTACTGTTTTCCTTTACAGTTAATATGGACTCATTTTCTTAGCTATAGTACAGATTATATTTTAATCTACTATGGCTACTTTCCTTTGTCACGAAATTAGAATTGATTCTATTATCTACCATGTTAATGTACAAACAAATAAGCTTTTAACATATGTATATAGTTACTATATTTATAAAGTTTAGCTGAGTTCTAGTTCAGTTTTTAATTATTTAAAATCTTTACAGTATGTGGATACTATTTTAAAATAGAAATTATATAGCTATTTTAATTTAATTCTATTTTATTTTGTGATGCTAGGAATCAAACCCAGGGCCTTGAACAAGCTAGATAAGCACTTTACAGCCCTATTTTAATCTTTAATTAAAATAAAATAAAATCTGATTAGAAATATCATTTGAAGATCTACCTCTAATATATCTAAAACTAATTATAGTATAAAAGTAGATAAAGATTTTATTAAGAACTTGTTTATAGCATTATGCTTGAAATTGTTCTTGGCTATGAATTCAAAGTCTTGTAAAGTGACTTATTTTAGTAAGATGAACAGAGAGCTCTGGGTATTTTCAGAAGTCCATTGATTTGTTTTATTTGTGCTTTAATGCAATGTTCTGCTGCATATTTTCTGGTAACATAAGTAAGGAGTGTTGGTGTTCTGTAAATATTAAGTAAGTAAACAACATATTAGAATAGATATTAAGATAAAAAGGTAGACTTGAATAAATATTTCCTGCTTTTCCTTAATTAACCTCTGGTCAGAGAGACTGCAACAATGTGGCAGGTAAAAAACAAGCTGTCAGCTGCCTGACAGCACCACAGGAGCTGAGCATTAAGGACAGTGGATTGTGACAAGCAGCATTTCCAAGTGGGGAAAGGGGCAAACTAAGCCATAGGAACTTTAAAAGTACACACCTGCAATCCTAGCTACTCCCAAGACTAAGGAAAGAGGATTCCGAGTTTGAGGCCAGCCTGGGCAACTTAGTGAGACCCTGTCTCAAAATAAGACTGGAAATGGGCTGGGGATGTAGCTCAGTGGTAGTGTCCCTGGGTTCAATCCCTCATACCACAAAGTAAAATTAAATAATAATAATAATAATAATAATAAATAATTTGGAGAAGAAACATCTAGAATGTAAATATAAGCCTTTGTCAAGAAAGGGACAATGAAAGAGGTAAGTAACTCAATAGGAAGGCTGATGATGAAAAATCTGCCAATTATTTTGGAAGTTTTTCTCTCCAGTGAACAAAAATCACCACTTTTCAATGTAATCTTACCAAGAGCTGCCATCTCTAACTTCCTGTTCTCTATAACACTGGGCTCCCTGGGCTAATTCATATGAATTTCAAGCCCAGAGGAAAGGAACCACTACTGACTTGATGACAGCTCTAAGCCAGGGCATTTTCTAGCCCTGTACATGTCAGAACTCCTGCAGTCTCTTAGCCAACAGCCTTTACAATGTCAAGTTCGTAAAATCACCAGCAGTGAATGAATCAAGACATGTACATTTTAATTGAAAAGACATATGTCTTTAAAAAAAAAAGAAGAAGACATAAGAGAAAAAACACGTGACTAAAACTCATATTATTTAGTATAGACCACACACAAAATCTGAAAGAATAGCTAGGATTATAAGACAGAAAAAAACAACTTATCCATAAGATTTTTAGCAAGAGGGATAAAAGATGGAAAATGTCAATAATATGAACAAGTTGTTGTTAAAAGAATAGAAAACAAAACAAAACAAAGCCTAGGCCTTAACTTTGAAAATCCAGGGTAAGTAAAGGGGATGAAGCTGTACTAAAGAAAGTTACAGTGATCACTTAACATACAAAGAGAGACTGTGAGAGGAGATGAACTCATATGACCCTAGATGTGAGAAGGAAGAGCAAAGTATGGAGGCAGAGCCTAATACAGGCAGGTTTCTACAGTGGCTTCCAGAACCATCATTTCAAGACCCTAATAATACTTTCTATTTTATTTTAAAAAGTGTGACTGAGATATAAATTACATACCACGTAATTTACTCATTTAAAGTATACATTTCAATGGTTCTTAAAGTCCAACCCCTACCACAGTCAATATTAGGTTATTTTCATCACCTCAGGAAGGAGCCCTAGAACCCTTAGCTATCACACCTGTGAGAAATAGAAAGTTCAGTGGTCCATTTTCAGAATATAGTATTTAACCTTAATCGGGATGTAATATCCAATTGTAGCCATTTTAACTATAGCCCTTCCCTTTGCCCACCCCAATTTTAAAACTGGCTAATGATGTAGATTATAACCCTTAGCTCCTCTGTCAGGCAAGGGAGAGTGCTGGGTTAGGGATACAAGCAGGCACACCACCTATCTAGGGGTGCTTGCTAGCCAGGCTCCTTAGTGTGCCTTTCTGGCAGAAGTGAAGTTTGCCTTGTCCACCCACTTTCGAGACATGTTTGATTTCTTGTAGTACCTCAGTGTTTCTAACACACCCCTGGCCAATCACTAATCTATTTTCTATCCCTATGTATTTGTCTGTTCTGAATATTCCATATAAATGTGCCTCATAATTTGGCCTTTTGCAGCTGGTTTCTTTCACTTAGCATAGTGTTTTTAATGTGGTAACATCTATCTTACAACATTCCTTTTACTGCCAAATGATATTCTATCACATATAGTTTATATACCACATTTAGTTTACCAGTTTTGTGTGTGTACGTGATACTAAGGATCAAACTTATAGCCTCCTCATGTATGCTAGACAAGTGCTCTAACAATGAGATACATCCCCATCCCTTTTTAAATTTTGAGACAGAGTCTCGCTAAGTTGGCCCAGGCTGGCCTCAAACATGGAATCCTTCTACCTGAGCCTTCCAAGTAATCGGGATTTACAGGCGTGTGCCACTATACCCAGCTTTGTTGAATTATGTGTTCTATTTTTATTTTTGTTTGTTTATTTATTTATTTATTTTGTATTGCTAAAGATCAAACCCAGGACCTTCCACGTGGCTAGAAAGTACTCCCCAATTCTTACCTATTCCTTAGTTGATGAATCTTAGGGTTGTTTTCAGCTTTTGACTATTATAAATAGTGATATTATGAACATTCACATATAAGTTTTTGCTTAAATACTTGTTTTCAATCCTTTGGGGTTCATATGTAGGAGTGGAATTGCTGGGTGATTACTTATATTTCTTTACATTAAATGAACAGAGTCCCTAAGCAAAGTCTGTCTACCAGCACAGAAAGAATCTCTGCTGAGTGCCTAAGAACTCAGTGAACCTGTATCCATATGGTGATGGGAGGACCTCAACCAATGGGAGGCCGCCACAGACTAACGTGCTAAAGCACAACGAACACAAGCAAGAAAAGGAACAAGAAAGATCATGCCACAGTATATTATAAGCACCAACACAGAAGACAGACGGATTTATTCTGAACCAAATAAACTTCAGTGAGCAAGTAGCTGACACTACTAACAACAACAAAATAAACATTATAATCTGGGTTACAAAAAAAGTGACACACATTCATATTATTTTTAGAGCAAAATGATTCACTATGTACTTATTTATTTGTGCTTTGCTTTATTAAAGAACAGCCAAGAAAGATAAATATATAAAAAGAAAGTCAGAGGAAAGACAAGAGAGCACAGGCAAATCAATTTTTTTAAAAAACTAAAATTTATATCCTCAGGGCAATACAAGAAAACTAAAATATAATACTATGAAAAAGAATAATAAAAATAAGAATTCTTAATTATATATAACAAGATAATAAAAATAAAAATTCAATAGAAAGGCTGGGAATTTAAAGTCATAAAAATCTCATAGAAGAAAAGTTTAAAAACAGGAGGAAAAAAAGATATGAAAAATCAACGATGACTTCAAGAAGCCCCACATCCTCTGGATATGGCAACCAGAAAGAGAAAAAAGAAACAGTGGGAAGGAAAGCATCAAGGAAATAATGAATAGTCTAGAGTTCAGCCCAAGAGGTAAAGAAAAGTGCACATGGGTCAGATCATGGTGCGATTTCAGAACACAACTGAAAACAACTCTTGAGAACATCAGTTAAAACATACAAAACTAAACAGTAA